TTCTAATAAACGAAAAGAAAAAACTACTCTTAGCAATCAACAAAGAAAGGATATAATTGCATTTAAAGAAAAAAATTTGAACATCAGCAATGTTGACCTTGTTAATTGAGTAAAAAAAAATATGGGTCTTGACATTCATCTCTCTACTATTGGGCGTCTAATAAAAAATAAAGACAATATTGGAGACAATCTATCTGCAAAAAGGCAGAAGATAGTACAATATCCAAACCTTGACAATTTATTACTCGAGTGAATTCTTCAAAACCAAGACCAAATCATATTAGGTGATGCGATTCTAATTGAAAAAGCAAAATCTTTTGCTTAATTGTTAAATATACCAAATAGTAGTCTCAAATTCTTGCATGGCTGGTTGTATAAATTTAAAAGAAGACACAGCCTAAAACAAATAACAAAACATGGCAAAGATGCATCTGTAAATGATAACGTCATTGCTGCTGCGATTTCTAAATTAAGAAAACTATTAGAAAATTATTATTTATAATATGGATAAAACAGAGTTGTTTTATCAGTAAGAATAAGTAATATTAAATCTTAATACTTAACTTAAATTTTTTTTTTTTTTAGCCTTGAACCAGACACTACATTAGCAACAAAATGTCTTAAAGAAAGAAGAAAAAAAATAAAGAATAACTAACCATAGCATTTTGTGCTAATGCTGATGGAACGAATAAAATTATGCTACTTGTAATTAGAAAGTCTCCCAACTCACATTGTTTTAAAGATATTAAACATAGCAGGCTTGGTATTATGTATGAAAGTAGTGCTAATGTGTGGATAATGACAATCCTATTTCAAAAATAGCTTAAAGTATTTGATTTAAAGATGGCTGGTTATAAGACGCTTTTTCTAATGGATGGTGCAAAAGTTCATTCTTATAGCAATCTAAATCTTTGAAACACAATCGTCCATATTCTTCTACCATACACAACATCTCGTATTTAATCTCTAGATGCTGGCATCATTATGTCTTTCAAGCGTCGCTACAAAAGTTACTTTATAAAATGGTTACTTGATCAATATGAATCTGGAAATGACGATAAAATGAATGTTCTTACTGCCATTAGATTTATAGCCAAAGCATGGAAAGAAGTATCATCAGAAACGGTGCATAATTGCTTTCGACATACTGGTAAAGTTGATTTTAATAAATTGGTTCTCATAACCCAGGCAGGTTTATGCAAAAATTTATCCCTTAAGCTGTAGAGTTTGTGTAATAATTTTAGCTTAAAAATAGCACAAATTTAGTTATGATCTATTTTTCTTAATATTTAAAATATTTAAATAAAATTTCATATAATAATATTTGAAAATAAGGATTATCTTTTTATAGTATTTATA